TTAGTGATTATAAATAGTAAAGTGCAGTATAATTGAATTGTGAATTACTGAGAAAATAAAGGACATTAGATAGAATCTTTATAACGAAAGAAACTGCAAATTAAGTTGGCGAGTTTTTATTTAACAATCCAGAGATCGTACCCGAAGGATCTAGAAAATAATCGAGGTTGATTCAGTAAAATCGTAACAATAATTAATAACTTGAAAGCATTTACGACCTCTGTTAAGTGAATGAAATGTTAATCGTTTCCACCGAAATTTGAAACTTGAAAAATTTGTCATAAGTATATAATACATAAGTATGAAAAAAAGAAAAAAGAAGGTAAATGAATTAAATATCGGAACTCAGTTACTACTACTACTATGTACATATTAATTATTTTTATTTAAAAATTCATAATTTTTGTTGCTAAGATCTGGTTTGTTTCTCTTTTTCTGTTTTTCTCGTTTTCCGCCAAGTTTTTCAAAGCGCTTTCAATATTCGTGCAACATTTATTAATCGTAGCAGTTATCTCCTGTAAATTTACTGTTGCCAGGTTTTGTCGACGGCTCGAGCGCGTATGTTGCGCAGAGCGTGGTTTTGATTGCTGCTCACTATCCGAGGATAACTCTTTTAGCGAAAGCGCAGGAAATATCGCAATTGGGGACATCGGTGGCACCTGTGTATCCACTAAATTATAATACGAAATACATATTATAATATGAAATTAGAGTTTATGATTTTGGTAGAAAAATACATACAACTCGAACTTTCCTCCACAACACCTTCCACATTCATCGAACGGTAGCCGCCAATAATTTTAGCCATTTTTTCAAATAAAGGCCATGTTGGAGGGTCCCATTTCTGCTTTCACCTTTCTGTATATACAGGTTCACAAGAAAAACAACTTATAAGTTAATATTTATTATATTTATTACAGCAACTTACTTGTATTTGGACAACAAGTTCTGCGTTTTGAATTTAACTTCAATGCCCGATTGCGTTAACTCCACCGCCAATTCATTATATACATGAGAGCTTCTACGGCAACCTCTCAATTCCTGACCTCTTCCTACCCAGCAATCCAGGAAACTTTGCTCCTCCGTAAGGTTCCACTTGCGCCGTTTTGTTTCCATTTTCAGTTTTGTTTACTTTTATTTATTTATCGCAATCAGCTGGTAGCTGGCAGAGCCACGTATATATTTATGTTGAGAGGATCGTTTGTTATTTATCTATTACTTTGTGTTTGTTTCTTATAGTTTTTTTTTGAAGGAGGAAAAGAATTCTCTTCGCCAATTACTTAATATATGCATTTATGTTAAAACTAAAAAAGTAGTTTTTAAATTTCACCATGCAAAATTACATTACATTGGTAGTGACAGCATCGACTGTTAACATAACATTTTCTTTTAAATTGCCGAAAATAAGTTAACTCTCATTTTTTACAACAAAAAATACATGGAAATTACCGCATTTAAATGCGATGTTTAATTGCATTTAAGCTAAAATGCATTTAACGTCCGGTGGAAGTAGGCTGTTAAATGAATCTAACGTCTGGTAGAAATAGCGTTATTTGCGATCCGAAAATCGTTACTTTGCTTAGAGTTAAGCGAGCATCCTCAAATTATCGTTAAGCCATTTTAGTGATCCGAAAATCGATAATACGACAGAGAACTTCCCTACAGAAAACATCGAACGGATCTTAGGTATGCAGTGGAACAGCGAAACTGATTATTTTAAATTTGATTAGAAGTTTAAGAAAGACTCTGAACAAATATTGTCCATTTTTGATCCTTAATGTTTGCTAGGAAATCTAGCATTTACCGCCACCGTGTTGATGCAGTCGTTATAGAAAGAAAAATTGGAAATCGAGCGCTGTAAAAATGGTCCAACTTTACTAATTCAACCTGGCGTGCCGTGAGTGTTTTCAGCTCCATGATATATCACACTTCTCAAATTACGATCGACTTAAGAGGTCGGTGATATATATTGGAATGGCGTCCCATAAGTGTTTTCAACGCTATGATATATCACGCTTCTCATATTACGCTCGACTTAAGAGATTGATCGTCTAGGTCCTAAAAAAGGGTGAGCTCATTGTAATTGAGGAAGAGGATGCAGAGAATCTACTTATAAAATGTGGCCAGCGAGACGCATTCTACGAAGAGTATCGACAGATGCGAAGTGATCACCCAATAAGTCCAAGTAGTGCTTTGAAAAGTTTATAGCCGTACATCGACGAAAATGCCCTCATCAGGTATACTGGTCGCATCGCAAATGCGCCGAACGCCCCAATGCAAATGAAACGGCCCAGTTTGTTACCTAAAAATCATACTATAACTATACTGCCCGTCGAAATGTATGACAAGCGTTTTTATCACATATATAACCAGGTTATAATCAACGAAATACGACCTAAATATTAGGTTCATAATAATTCATCAAAAATGCGGAAAGATACCAGGTCAACTAATCATGGCATCATTCGGTAGAGTCCCCTCATTTGTTCGATCATTCCCGTACACCGGACCTGTGTAGGTTACAGTAGCACGTAGAAAGGAGAAAAGGTGGATAGCACTCTTCACCTGTTTAATCGTCTGAGCAGTCAGTTTATAAATCGACGTGGAGTTCCAGAACAAATCCGTAGCGATAATGGAACCAATCTTGTGGGTATCGAAAAGAAACTGCATAATATTGTTACGATTTTACTAAATCAACCACGATGATTTTCTGAATCCTTCGGGTACGATGTCTGGATTGTTAAATAAAACTCGCCAACTTAATTTGCTGTTTCTTTCGTTATAAAGATTCTATCTAATGTCCTTTATTTTCCCAGTAATTCACAATTCAATTATACTGCACTTTACTATCTATAATCACTAACATCAACTTTCACAATTTCCTCTACTTAAATGTAATTCCCAATGCGTTCACTTTACGACTTAGCTGATGTTAACGCCAACGAGCTCACTTTGTAACTAACTTTACTTGGCAGCTGAGTGTCCCCTTATATAGCAGTCGGCTGCTCGCAGACGAAAGCGTAGAAGCATCGAATTGTTCGCTATGGAAGGTTCTTGTTTTATCGTTTCTAGAACGTACTAGTTATCGGCTTCTCTCTTTCATCTGACATTCGCCTCGCATTTTCGCAACACTGCCCTCCACCTAAGTCTGATCGTCCCGATCAGACACATTCGCTGTTCCAAACTCAGCAAGTCTCTCCAGGTGGACCACTTTCATCTTGTTTCTTGTACTCCCAACGGTTTGGATCCGATACACTACGTCATTTAGCCGTTTGATTACCTTGTATGGACCTTCCCAATTACATTGAAGTTTTGGGGACAAACCCCTCTTCCGTTGTGGATTGTACAGCAACACCAAATCTCCATTTTGGAAACCTTCGGAGTTCATCGCCTTGTCATACCTGGCCTTCATTTTGTCACTCATAACTTGAGTTCGCTGTCTCACAAGAGCATGTACCTCTCTTAGCTCTTCCTCGAGATCGGTAGACGTTACCTTCCCAATTCTTCTCGCATCGCCAGTTATTCCAAATTTTAAATCGCTGGGCAACCGTAGTTCACTACCAAACAGTATCCTCGCAGGTGTTTGCCCTGTAGTTACATGCACGGCGGACCGATATCCCATCAGGAAAAGCGGTATATGCACATCCCAATCATCCTGATGCTTGTCCACTACTTTTCGCAAGTGCTCTTCCAGGGTCCGGTTGAATCGCTCTACCATACCATCTGATTGAGGATGTAGGGCTGTCGTTCGGGTTTTTCGAATACCAAGTATTTGGCACATCTCCTGGAACACCGCCGATTCAAAGTTTCTTCCCTGATCTGAGTGCAATTCTATAGGCGCACCGTATCTGGTAACCCAATTGTTAGTGAATGCATCCGCAACTGTTTTTGCTTCTTGGTTTGGGATTGGGTAAACTTCAGGCCATTTACTGAAATAGTCCATAACCACGAGAACGTATTTGTTTCCTTGTTTGCTCATAGGGAATGGACCGGCTACATCCATGGCAACCCGCTCAAATGGTGCCCCTGTGGTATACTGCTTCATCTGTCCATGACTTCGGGACTTTGGGCCTTTAGCGGCTATGAACTCCGTGCAATTAGCAATCCACTCCGCGACCGATTGCCGACAGCCAACCCAATAGAACCGCTGCTTGATCTTTTCCAGCGTTTTTGTAATGCCTAGGTGCCCTCCACTAGGACCGTTATGGAATTCCTTAAGAACATCCGGAATTCTTAACTTCGGAACTACTATTAGCTTCCGGGAACACTGGCCATCTTCATTTTCCCACACTCTATGTAAACAGCCGGATATCAGCTCTAAACTGTTCCATTGTGCCCAGTATGCCTTTGCGATAGGACTTTCCGCAGCCATTTGTTCCTTACTTGGTCGTCTATTTACCTCCAACCCGTGCATTACTAATTCTAAATCTGGGTCTTCCTGCTGGCATTTCCTTAAGTTACTTGCCTCCCACTCTTCTGCTTGCGTAACTTTCATTTGCCGGACGTCTATTATGTCCTTTTTACCCTCAGCTTTTGAGCAACATTTCCATTCTATACTACGTGGTCGACGGGACATAGCGTCAGCATTTCCGTGCGTATTCTCCTTTCGGTTCTCGATTGTGACGTTATATCTTTGAGAAGTTGATTGCATCTTCCTCTGCCTTCCGTTTTCGCTGTACCTCCTGTCAGCTGGAACTTGTTTTTCATTCGCGTGCGTAGTGACCAGGCTTTCCACATTTAAAGCACTTTCCTGCTTGAGTTTTGAAACCAGAACGATACATCTCTTCTAGCGACTTCAGAGCTCTCAATATTACCGTCATCACATCTGGTGTTCCAACCTCGACTTTATTTACTTTGTAGGATGGTCTGCTTATGAGTGCCGCCGTTTCACGTGTTTGTGCATACGCAACGGTTTCAGCGAATGTCAATTTTGGATTCGCGTATGTCTCTCGCTTGGTGTACACGTCTTTTATTCCGCTGATGAACCTTTGTATCTTCACCCTTTCAAGATGCTCACTCGATGTGTCTCCAATGGCTAAATGAGCCAACCTCTCAACTTCCGAGGCATATTCCTGCAGATATTCGTTGGATTTTTGGTCGCCCTTTTCTAACTCCATCTGGTAAATTTGTCTTCTGTGTTCGATACCATATCGTCTTTCCAGGGCTTGCATCAATCCGTCGTTATCATTTCTCTCGTTTACGGATATGGTTTGTAAAAGTTCGGCTGCAGGTCCTTCCAACGCAACGAATAGGGCAGCAGATTTTTCCTCTATGCTCCAGTTGTTTGTTTCAGCTGTCTTCTCAAATTGGAGCTTAAAAACTTGAAAAGGGATTTTCCCGTCAAAAGACGGTGTTTTCACCTTCGGAGCGTTCACTGAAGCGGTTGGACGATTTAACTGCAATTCGCGGATATGACTTTTCAATCCGTTGACTTCGATCTCTATTAGATCTTGCCTTTCCTTAAGTTCCGCGCTGTTCCTCACCAGATTTTGCGGTATTGTTCTTCCAAGGATGATATCTGCTCTCTCTGTTCAAGCATTTGTGCATCCATCTCTTGTGAGATGCAAGCCTTCTGCGCATCCATCTTTTGTGAGATGCTGGTGTTGCTGGCGTTCATTTTTGTGTCCTCTGCATCGAACTTTTGTGAGATGCTGGCTATTTGTGCATCCAACTTTTGTGAAATCGCAGTCAATAGAATGTTCATGTCAATACCCTTAGGTGACCCAGGAGCCTTTTCTTGAATCTTACTTGATGGTGATTCCAACTCCTTTACAGAACCATCAGCCTCTTACTTGTCAATGTCCTTCAAGGATACATCTTCATCCTCGCGATGGAACTCGTACTGGTTTAAGTTGATGCCTTCAACTTCCATTGCTTCTCGCAGTCTCGATTTAGCTCTGCTTTATTTCCAGTTGTCGACAATCCTCGCTTTGCCAACTCCCTCTTGAGAAAATGTATCGTCAAATCCTGTATCTTTACCATTTTGCAAATATTATCCTTTGGGATTTATTTAACAATCCCACTTCTGACACCAATTGTTACGATTTTACTAGATCAACCTCGATGATTTTCTGAATCCTTCGGGTACGATGTCTGCATTGTTAAATAAAACTCGCCAACTCAATTTGCTGTTTCTTTCGTTATAAAGATTTTATCTAATGCCCTTTATTTACTCCGTAATTCACAATTCAATTACAAGGCACTTTACTAGCTACAATC